GGGCCTTTCTTCCTGTTATCAGTAGTACACGTGGTGGCATCTTATTGAGTTCTTGAAACCTACTTAAATTTTTTTATTTCATTTCTTCAGTGTGTGTTGGGGGCGCAGTGAGGACGCCACCATGAATAAATAGAGGTCAGAGAACAACTTGCAGAAATCACTTCTTTCCTTCTACCACGTGGGTCCTGGGGGTAGAACTCAGGCTGGTAACAAGTGCTTTTGTCTTCCAAGCTTTTAATTTTCATTTTTAATTACTGGTGACATTAAATTTTATCTTCATATTTTGAAAAGATTTTACTAATGTATGAGTGTAGTGATACTTTGTTTTTAACAAATAAACAGAAGATCAGCGTGCCGAGCTAAGCCACTAGTGGTGGCCCACACCTTTAACCCCAGCACTAGGGAGGTGGAGACAGGAAGGGGTGTGACCGGATGGAGAGAGGAATATAAGGCAGGAGGAGACGGGAGCTCAGTCCAGTCTGCGGTTTGGTGGAGACAGTTGCAGTCTCGAGATGCAGTCTGAAGCAGTCATTCAGAGGATGCAGTCTGAGGTCAGGATCGCCCCTTTGGTCTGAGGATTCGGTAGAGGTAAAAGGTCTCTCTAGTGGGGGGCTGCACCGCTTCTCTGATCTCTCAGCTTTCACCCCTAATATCTGACTCCAGGTTTTTATTAAGAACAATTAGAATTTGTACGACATGAGTATTTGCTTGCATGTATGTATGTGCACATGAATGCCTGGTGCCCATAGAGGCCAGAAGATCCGCACTGGAGTTACAGATGGCTGTAAGCCCCATGTGGGTGCATCTGCAAGAGCAGCTACTGCTCTCAGCCACCGGTCTATCCCTCTAGCCTCATGATTCAGAAACACTTACCACTTTCAGCTGGTAAATTTGTTAAACTTGCAGTTCTAACCGTCTCTGTGCAGATGATTTTGGGTTTCCATGCACACAATCATGCAATCTTTAAGTAATAACTTCTTTCTTCAGAGGTGAGGTTGAAGCCACCTCACGCACACTAAACAATTCTACCTTTGAGCTTAGCCTCTCAGCCTACTAATGACCATTTTGTCCCTTCCTCATGCCCCTCTGAAAGTTTTTATTAGTGTATATTAATTATATATAATTTTTTTTTGGTTTTTCTTTTTTTTTTTTTTTTGTTTTGTTTTGCTTTTCGAGACAGGGTTTCCCTATGTAACCCCAGGACTTGGCTCTGTTCTGAGATCTGTTTTAGATGCAATAGGATATTGGAAGCATTATTTTCAAATTGTAAGTTTAAGACTAGGCTGGCCTCAAACTCAGAGAACTGCCTGCCTCTGCATCCTGAGTGCTGGGATTAAAGGCATGAGCTACTATGACTGGCTTATTAAATCTTTTAAAAAATTAAATTTTATTTTATGTGCATTGGTGTTTTACCTTCGTGTATGTTTGTGTGAGGGTGTCAGATACCCTGGAACTGGAGTTACAGTTGTGAGCTGCCATTTGGGTTTTGGGAATCGGGCCTGGGTCTTTTGGAAGCGTACCCAGTGCTCTTAATTGCTGAGCCATCTCTCCAGCTCAACTCAACACAATTAATGACATTTCCTGTAGGGAGTGGAGGAAGCTGAGTGAATTAACTTTTTAGTGAATGTGCACTATTGACATGGCAGGGCTGTGTTGAGGACCCCAAGGCCTTAGGCCCATGGGAAATTGGCAAAGCCATTGTCCATATGGACCAGGCTTAGGAGAAGCGGCCAAGTTTTCCTCAGGAATGGTTATAGTTGATTGTGCAGTGTGTGCAAGGACTAACTTACCTACAAAGGCCTCCTACCAAGATGGCTACCAAGCCCTGTTAATGAGTAAGAATGCTGTTTGCGGTAGAAGCAGACTCCTACCAGACTCCAGCTTCCCTGTGTCTGTCTGTCCTACCTTCATTCCTTTGCCTAGCTAGGGTTCCAAGACTCAAGCTACATGGTTGGTAACAGTTTCCGTTCATGTGTATAATGTGTTCTGATCATATTCCCATCATCCTCACTGTCGTCCCCCGTCCCCCGCCTTCTCATCCCTCTCTTTTCTATTGCTCCCTCCATATGGCTTTTATCATCTTCCAGATTAGAATTTGTCTCTTCTCTTAGCTGAATCAGTTGAGGAGCTGTCCCCATTATATGCAGAAGCATGCTGCTGACAGGGAGTTCTAGATGCAGCAGGGTACTGGAAGTATTCCGTACCATAGCAGTCCAGGTACCAGGACCTCCTCGTGTGGTCTTGCACTCTGCATTTTCCCAACAGGACTGGATGTTTGGGGTGCGGCACGTTGTTGTCATTGTGGCTACCCTCGACAAGGTGGAAACCGAACAGGTACACACTGCACAGAGCGCAGGGGTCAACGCCACACTACTGCCAAGGAGCCAGCAGTTGATGGGAAGTATCTAGCACATTAAAGCCCCGCCTTCCAGTGGGCACGGTGGCGCACACCTGTGATCCCAGTACTCAGGAGGCAGCTGCAGGGAGACTAAGTTCTAAGCAAGCCTGGAGCAGTCGCAGCCACGTGAGAGAAGGCTCTGAGGTAAGTGCATACTGATTTTGTCAAGGACTTGGGTTTAGCTGCCAACAATCACATCAGGTGGATCACAACTGCGGGTAAGTTCAGTGCCAGGGGATCCAGCAATTTCTTCTGGACCCCACAGGCACCTGCATTTACATGGGTACATACCACCCCCACATATATACTTAATTTAAAAATAAAAAAAAAATATTTTTAAAAAAAATCAATAAAACTCCTGTTTCCTACTCTGGAGATTAATTTGGCCTTCAGGTACAGTATCAATTTGAGTGAATTTCATTTGTTTTTGTTGTTTTGAGACAGGGTCTCTCTACAAAGCCCTGGCTGTCCTGAAACTCACTATGTAGGCCAGGCTGGCCTCAAACTCACAGAGATCCACCTGCCTCTGCCTCTCAAGTGCTAGGAGTAAAGGCGTGTGACAATATGCCTGATAAGTTGAGGCAATTTTAAAGGGATATGTTCAACATTTCTCTCTTAAATAATATTTACTGTAGGATTTTAATATATACCTTTAAATAGCTCTAGGAAATTATCCTCGATTTCACAGCAAGTTACCATTATTTTCTGTTAGAGAACTAAAAACTATAACTAAAGGCTTCCTGAGATATTAACCAACTACTTCTGTGTAACATGCATTGCATGTAATAAAAATATTCAGAAAATGCCTGTGAGGTGGTTTTAGGTAGAGGTGTTTATGTGTAGGTCTGATAACCTGAGTTTGATCCCTGGATCCTACAAGGTGGCAGGAGAGACCCAATCCCTGAGAGTTGTCCTCTGAACTCCACACCCTTGCCTGCACACACAAGAATTTTTTTTTTTAATTAAAAAAAAAAGGAAAAACAGAAAAATCAAATACACAAATGTTTAAAACTATATTAATAAGCCACCACTTTATTAAACCAGCATAATTCCTACCTGTATTGTAAATACAGAAAGTATAGCTCTCGACCCTCAGCAAAGAAACTTCTCTTTGTAACACAGACCATTACAGAAAACCACAAGAATCAGAATGAAGAGAAGGAGCCATCACGGTGTCCTGCCCCAACTCATCCATCTGTAACATAGCCCCTGCAACTACGGCTCGGGGTCATCTCAGAAGAGGGGATGGAAAGACTGTAAGAGTCAGAGGGCCAGGTCGTCTGCTGTGAGATTTGTCAGGGAGGCTACTAGGAAGGCTCAACGACAGGTCTGCCGAAACAAAACCTGAACACTGACACCACCAATAAGCATGCTAATACGAAGGGAGAAATCTCATGGTCCCGACCCCCGGAGAGAAAAAAACTACAGGCAACCAAAGAATGCCGAGAGCAGAAGCAAAAGCCCTTCCCAGGAAAGAACACTCCCACTGGCTGTCCAATACCAAATAGTCAGTCCTAAAAACACTCATACAACATTGAAAAGACCCAAGGGGGTTGTATACTTAGGAGTGTATGTGTGTGTAGGACAACTTTAAAAGAGGCCAGAAGCCATGAAGGAAATTGGGAGAGCAAAAAGGGCGGTACACACGGGAGGGTTTGGTGGAAAGAAAGAGAAAGTGGAAATTATACAATTGTATTTTTAAAATTATATTAATGGGCCAGGAAGGCACAGAGGTATACATCTTTAATACCAGCACTTAGGAGCCAGCCTGGTCTACGTAGTTCCAGGCCAGCTAGAGCTACACAGTGAGACTCTGGGTCAAAAAGGAAGTTTCCTGCTTGGTGAGGGAGCAATCCACCAGGCTCACTGAGCAGAGTTAACTGAGGACACACAGAGAGGGAAGGATGCTGCCCACAGGCAGCAGGCCCAGGTACACCGGGAGGGCACAGCCAGCAAGGCATATCACTGTGCCTTCATCATCAAGAACTTCAGTTTCAGCTTTTCTAGGATGCGTTTTAACTCGTAAACCTCTGGAAACATAAATGAACACAAGAACACAGCTACGTCACCACTGGGAAGCTCCAAATGTGACATGTGGTATAAACAGGTTTGAGAAGAACAGCCAGCCTGAGTGAAGACACCTAAGAGATGCTTCCAAAGTTTTCTTCCTACACCTCAGTGCTGCCTAGTTAGGGTCATCAGGGATGAGGGAGCCTCAGTTGAGAAAACGCCTCCAAAAGATCCAGCCATTGGCAAGCCTGTAGGACATTTTCTTAATTAGTGATTGATGCGGGAGGGCCCAGCCCATTGTGGGTGGGGCACCCCTGGGCTGGTGGTCCTGGGTTCTATAAGAAAGCAGATAGAACAAGCCATGAGGAGCAAGAGTAAGCAGCCCCCCTCCATGGCCTCTCTCTGTATTGACTCCTGCTTCATGAGTTCCTATCCTGACTTCCTTCAAGGACGGACTACTCCCCAACCTTCTTCAGGTCATGGTGTTTCATCACAGCCTAGCAGTCTGAACTGGAACAACTCCTGTGCAGCACCCTGTCTGCAGCCTCCTGCAGTGCGAACTCTTTCTGGGCGTCATGGAAGCACAGCCCCCATAGCGTCCCTCAGCTCGCAGTGGCCTGCTCCAGATAGGGAAGAAAACACTAGTGATAAACAATTCTAACAGTTTCAGAATCCACCATTTAATGAGATGAACATTCCATAATAAATCTCAGAGTTCTTACATGAGTACATCGTTTCTCCAGGTTTGAAAAATCACACAGAACCAAGCAAATGGAAAGCCATCTTGAATTCAAGTGTAACTCAGATCAGAATTCTCTGGCTGTGAGGTGCAGTGAAGCACTGTGTGCTAGATGTCCTGGTTACTTCAGAAGCTGAGGCAGACCTGGGGATGAAAGGAAACATAGTGACACCCTCAGAGGGGTGGCGGGGAGAGGGAGGAGGAGGAGGGCTCAGACAGTCCAGCTTCATCTATCTGTCTGTCTCTCTGTTTACTGGTTGGCTTTTTGAGACATTATGTAGCCCTGTCTGTCCTGGAACTCACTATATAGACCTGGCAGGCCTTGAACTCACAGATCCACCTGTCTTGTTTTCCCAGTGCTGGGAATTCAAGGTGAGTGAGTACACCACACCCAGCCCACTCCAGCTTCTAGACAGAGGCAGCTGAGCAGGTGACCCCTGTGCTCATTTCTTTGAAGTAACAGCTCTGCCCACCCTCTCCTGCCACAGCTCCTCAAGGAGGCCAGGGCCAGCAGTGAACCCTTCCTAAACACTCAAAACATGACTTAGTCTGAAACATGTATCATTTACTGAGTTCAGTGGGGTGCAGCGTGCTGGACGCCTTCCAGAGCCTAGAGGGACAGTGGGGTGCAGCGTGCTGGACGCCTTCCAGAGCCTAGAGGGACAGTGGGGTGCAGCGTGCTGGACGCCTTCCAGAGCCTAGAGGGACAGTGGGGTGCAGCGTGCTGGACGCCTTCCAGAGCCTAGAGGGACAGTGGGGTGCAGCGTGCTGGACGCCTTCCAGAGCCTAGAGGGACAGTGGGGTGCAGCGTGCTGGACGCCTTCCAGAGCCTAGAGGGACAGTGGGGTGCAGCATGCTGGACGCCTTCCAGAGCCTAGAGGGATAGTGGGGTGCAGCGTGCTGGACGCCTTCCAGAGCCTAGAGGGACAGAGGAGCTTCAAGCTTACTGTACTGTTTGTATTAATTTCCCCAGAATCAAAACCTTCAGAATCAAACCACGTTAGCCTATAGAAGACTTTTAAAGACTTGCCTCAGAGCTCTCCAAAGCCTTTTTGATGACAAATCAACAAAACTCCACCCCACTTTCTCTGATCATAAAAGTGTGTTTTTTTAAACTGTTACTTTTTAAATGATGTGAAACCAACAAGAAGCGGCTGCTCTCTGACTGGTCGTCTCTGGAGAAGATGACTCTGTGCTTCACCGCCTTCTGCCAGGCCTTGCAGAGATAGGCTCTGTAGTCCAGGGCCCCGTCGCCTGGAAGCTTGGAGGAAGAGGGCCCCTGTGCCGGGTCCGAGGCTTTCTGCATTAGACTTTGCGTTGTGGCGACAAGCAGCAAGCGGTACTGAGTGACGAGTCTCTCTAGGAGCTGAGAACACTTCTTCAGAGTAGATTCCTGCAGGGCCACGCTTTCTCCTCCACTGGCGCGGTCTGTCCAGTAGAAAGCCGACAGGCTATCCACTATGAGGAGGCAGAGGGAGGGGTGGCCACAGAAGAGCGCCTCCAGCGAGTGCAGCGTGAGCAGTAACTGCATGCTGCTGCTGCAGTAGGCCAGGAAGAGCCTTCCCAGGCAGAGCTTGATGGCTTCCTCCGAGCTCCGCGACAGCCTGTGCTCCAGAACCGTCACGAGGCGGAGCATGTCGAAGTGGTAGTCTGTATCGATAAATAAGACCTCTATTTGCAGTCCGCCCTCTGATTTTGGAAGTATACACCGGGCTGTTAAGTGATAAAGCATTTCCGTTTTTCCCGTTCCTTCTGGACCATGAAATTCGAGAATATCACCTGTGTAAAATTCAGAAACATCAGTCAAGACACAGCAGGGCGACAGCGAGACACAGAACATGTCTCAGACCCTTACAGAGAGCTGCACTCAAGTGCAAATTAAACACCTAAATCCACCTGTTAGCGTGGATCTGCACGACAAACACAGATAAATAAGGAAATTCATACAGCATCTCTGAGAAAGGACACAGTGTAAAAAAAAAAAAGTTTTTTGGTTGGTGCTGAAGACGACATCCAGGTCCGTAGCTGTGGTAGGAAGCAGCTCTACCACTGAGCCACACCCTCAGCCCAGCAGTGAGAGTAACTGGCACCAAGAGAACACACACAGCAAGAGGGAAGCTCCTATGGGCCTGGGTGACTCAGGCCACTGCAGCCTCACTGCTTTCTGTGCTTGAGCCTGAGTTCGGGTCTCAGAGCCCACGTGACGCTGATGCAGTAGCATTCCTGTAGCGAAATGGGAGGGAGACAGAAGTCCCAGGAGCTTACAGTCCACCTGGCCTGCTGTACAGAGTGCTGACGTAGAAGGTGAGGGACACAGCCCACCATGCAAAAGCACAAGGCAGAAACCTACAGCAGGCGTCCCGAGCCTCTCAGGACCCTAACACTGATAGGAGACAACACCTTAGCAGCTATGTAACTGACGTAACTGATGGCCAATCTAGGGCATCACTGACTGGATTTGGAAGTGTCTGGCCAGTGAATAACAACTCAGGGCATGTCTGGGGAGAGTTGCTATCACGATGGGTCAATCCCTTGATGACTTCATATGATGGCGTTTACTGGGAGGGGGAAAAAGTGGTGGGAGCTAGCTGAAAAAAACAAGCCACTGATGTGTGTTTCTGGAGAATTTTTGTCCTGGCCACTTCCTGACCTTCAAAAGTGAAGAACAGTCTTTCCACGATGGTAGTACTGGGGCCAAGAACCCACTAAAACCATAAGCCAAAGTGAGTATTTCCTTCTTTAAGTTGTGTGTGTGTATGTGTATATACAGGAAAAAATCATACATGTTTATAAGATCAGTAAAACATATGTAAACATGTTCAAACAGTATGCTTTATAAATGGGACAGTTCATGTATCTTCCCTTGAAGTTATGATCTCTGTTATGTCCGCAAGTTGTCACACACACACACAAAGTTAGCGCCCTTATCCAGCCAAGTACAACTTGAAGCAAAAAGAAGAAAACAAGAAGAAGAGGAGGCGGAGAAAAAAAAAACAAACCCTGGAGCTTGGCACTTGAACAGCTGGGGAAATCTGGATGGTTTGGCCCTGACAGCTCCTCTTGAGTAGATGCTAGGAGGAGTCAGGGCTAAGAGACTGAGGCAAGAGTCAGAGCTACAGCCTTTAGAATACGTAAGAAAAAGGCCACAGCAATCACTAGCCTAACTGTGGAGCCAACACACTGGATTTGCCGATCATAATTCCTAGTTCTGAGGACTCAGAAACTGGGCAGTGCAGAAAACAGCCTCCAGCTGCAAATGCATTAAAATGCTTCCACAGCGCAGAGCCCAAGGATCTTTCTGCACCATAAACTTCCTGTAACAGATGCTAGAAGTGGTAGTGACCTAGAACCCCGTCTTTGGTGTGTGCTGTGTCAGCTGAGCTCCTGTCTAGTTTTACAGCACATTAAATGTAAGTACACGTTTTTTGGTAGTGACTAAACATGAGGGTGTTTCTATAACATGTGATGCAAAGATATGCTACAAAGCCTTGCCCTAACACAGGGTTACTTTCCTAAGGCCTAACTCGTGAGTACAAGCACGTGTGAAATGACATGCTTTCCTATGGAGTACAGGGACAGAGATCTGCTGAACCAGCAATCCCAGAGTCCTTTGGGCTGAGGGAAAGGACAGTAGACAGTGGCACAAAGTCAGACACAAAGCAGCACAGGAACCGTGAGTGTGCAGATGGCAGAAGAGAGGAGGAGTATGTTTGTCACCCTTCTGCCTGTGTGCACTGGAGCTGCTGAGTCCTGCGGGATGTGACCCTTACATGATGACATCTGGGGCCAGCTGGACAATCAAATAACAAATCAAATTATTTCCTTGCCTTAGTCCTCAAACTATTTTTCTTTCCAGAAAACTTACTTAGTATCCCTTCACTTGCATTTCTACTCACCAAGCACAAATTTGGACATTGAGATTCCTAACATAATGTTACCTTTTGAAATATTCACATTAAAAAATGAAAGCAAAACACCTTTAAGCTGGGTGTGGTGATAGACACTTTTATCCCAGCACGCCTGAGGGTCAACTTCACAGTGAATCTTAGGCCCACACTCAAACAGACAAAACCACACAGCCCTCAAACCTGTACTACTATTTCCAATCACTTTCACTCAATAAAATGAAACACTCTGGTGGACACATGTGCACAGATATAATGGGAAAGAGCACAAAGATGGTGAAGACTAACTAGACCTCAGCAGGGAATGACTAACAAGCTGACATCAATCCAAACTAGACTGTTATAAATTAAGACATTAATTAATGACTAGGAAAATAGTTTTAAAATTATGAAAGAGAGTAGCAAGGGATTTAAAATAGTACAGTAGAGGAATTGGAGAGATGGCTCAGCAGTTAGGAGCACTGGATGTTCTTCCAGAGGACTCAGAACTCAGATGGTGGCTCACAACCACCTGCTACTCCAGATCCAGGGAATTCAACACCCTCTTCTGGCCTCCATGGGCACAGACTTATAGGCAGGCAAGACAGGTACACATATTATATAAAATAAACAAATCTTAGAAAAAAGATAGTATGCTAGACTCATCTATTTAAAACAAAACAACAAAAACCAGAAAAGGAGAATTAGTGAAACAGAAAAGGTATAAAATACAAAACAGGGAGTAAAATGGTCACAATTCATCTCATCTCATCAGTAGTTACAGTAACTTAAGTGAATTAAATATTCAGTCAAAAGCTGATAGGCAAAATGGAAGAAAAAGTCAGGATCCAGCTGAGAGCATTCAACAATGGACACACTTCATAAACCAAGCGGCAAGTAAAAGAAAAGGACAGACACTGTGTAAAGAGCAGTCCAGGGCTTTCTCCACCACCACCCTTCTTCTTGAGACAGCATCAGATAGCCAGGTAGTTTTGAACTCTCTATGAAGCTAAGGCTAGCCTTGAACTCCTGATCCCAGGAGTTGGGATTAGAGGTGTGTACCACCACAAGGCTGAAATTGTTATAGTAATACCACACACAATGAACTTTTAAAACAAGAGTTATTATTTGGAATAGTGTGTGCATGCAAGTATGTGTAGGCTAAAAATATATGAAATAAACTAGATGTGTTGGTTATTTGTAATGCAACTACAAGTTCAAGGTCAGCCTGGGCTACTTAGTGAATTCTAGATCTTGCAAAGCTGCAGCTCCGTATCTGTTTAAGTGCTTTTAATACCCCAGGTAAGAAAAATCATGTGGTTTGTCTTAGTCCGCCTAGTCTATCAGTCTTAATTTTTTTTCAAATTATATGTATATGTGTAGGAATGTGTAGTGAGGGTAAGAGCCTAGGGGAGCCAGAAGTGTCAGCCAGAAGTCCCCTAGCTGAGGGGGTTATGAACTGCCTGATGTGGGTGCTGGGAACCAAACTCTGGCTCCCTGGAAGAGCAGTCCAAACTCTTGACTGCTGAGCTATCTCTAGTCCTGGTTCTTAGGTTTCATCCACATTGTGTGTGAAAGGGTTTCACTGTTTGCATATACTGCTTTCTTGTTTATTTGTGTGTAAGTCTGAAAGTCTCACTTTGTAGCCAGGCTAGCCTCAAACCTACGGTGACACCTCCCCAGCCTGTCAGTGTGGGATTACCCTTTCAACCCCTGATGGACATTTGTTTGCTTTTTGAAGATGTGGCATCATCGTTCCACTAACTTCTGTGGAAGCTCTATACTGTCCTCAGTATCGACTGTACCATTTTCCCGTCTTAGCAGAGATACATGGTAATTTTGGTTCCCTCACAGTCTTGCCAACACTTAGTTTTTTGCATTTGTTTTAAATAATGTCATCCTAATGTATGAGGTATAAAGGACACATTTTATAATGATGAATGAGCCAATCAGCAATAAGACATAAACAATAATAAACTTTTGTATGCATAATACTCAAAGCCTAAGCCCAGGAAGCCAGATAGATGGAACTGAAGGGAGAATTAGGTAACGGCCAGATGTTAATAGCTACTCTAGAAACAGAACAGCTGCAAACAAGTGCAGCAAGGAAGCAGAAGTTAGCACTAAAAGCCAGAACCAAGAGTCATCTAGAGAGCGCTTGGACCAGGCACAGGAGAACACACAACCACAGTGCACATGGAGTAATAAATCACTGGTCAGACCATAGCACAAGCCTCAGTATATTTAAAAGGTCTTGAATCAAGGAAGCATGCATTTCTAACCAGAAAAGAATGAAAACAAACTAATGACAAACTAGAGATCTTCTTGTTTATTTTTTGAGACAGGATCTTGCTACACACAATAAACTAGCTTCAAACTTTGAACTTCCTGCTTCAATCTCCCAAATGCTGGGACCACCTGGCTGTACATCTTTCTGACCTTGGAATAGGGACTAAGAGTCTTGTACATGACACTAAAATAGGAACAACAGAAGAGACACTAAAATCTCAAAGTTAACCATGCCGCGCCTCAAAGGAAATCAACATAGTCCAGACAACGGGCGGACAGGCGCAGTGCAGCTGCATCTACTGGATATGCATCTTCTACCTAAAACACGTAAAGGGCACTACAATGCGGTAATGAAAGGGAACTTGGTTTTAAAATCAGCAAATATCTGACATTTCTCCTAAAAGGGCGGGCAAACTGCGAGTGAGCTCAGGTGGAGGCAAGCAACTTAGCCAGCCCCCAGGGAAGGGCAAAGAAGCACAGCAGGGTGTCACTCTGAACTGACCAGGATGCTGAAGCCACAAAGACATATTGATAATTAGTCCTAGGACGTGGGGGATTAGGAACAGATGCTTCACTGAAGGTCACAGGTAAAACGTGAAGCTATTTTAGAAATCACTTTGGCTGTTTTTTCAAAGATGAAGCATTGCCTTATAAGCTAACAATCTCCTCTCTATGTGCTACTTAAAAGAATCCAAACCCTATCTATCCACAGAAAAACTTGTCCATAAAATCATGGCAGAACCGTTCAAAGCTTCAAAAATTCAGAAGCAAGCGACAGTGCAGTCTCACAGTGGGACTATGCAGCACTACAGAATTGGCTACTGAACTGGAGTCACGCTCAGTGGTTAAGGGTACTTGCTGCTTTTGCAAAGGGTGTGGGTTCCATTCACAGCACCCACATCACAGTTCACAGGCATTTGTAACTCAAGTTCTAGGGAATCTAACACCCTCTTCTGATCTTGGCAGGGACCAGGCACCCACCTGCACACAGACGTACACATTGGCAAAACAATCATATGCATAAAATAAATCTTAAAGGGGGAGGGGGTGTGCTACTGATACATGACAAAGACAGACGTGAAGGGCCACCTTAATTACACAAGACCGCCAGAAAGGGCAAGTCCACAGAGAAAGCTGGCTGTGGTGACCCAGGGCTGACTACCAGTACAGTACCAGTCTTTCTGGGGTGACAGTTAAAAAAACTGTGAGACTATATTAAAAACAACTCGATTATTGTGGAGACTCAAAATGTGAGCCCATTCCATCTTGTCTGAAAGTCAGAGAGTTTGAGCTTATTTTTGTCCTTTCAAAGTTGTCTGCAACAGGTGTGGCTACAAAACAAACTATCCTGACCTAGGGTGTGCTTACTTGGTGTTTTGGACGTTAAGATGGTCCGTACAGGTAGATCTGCTCCACCATGACCAAAGGCCAGAGAATTCAAGCATACTCTGCTCCTTCTTTTGAAATAGGAGTTGTTTTTTTAAAATATTTATTTATTATGCATACTGTGTTCTGTCTGCATGCATGCCTACAGGCCAGAAGAGGGCACCAGATCTCATTACAGATGGTTGTGAGCCACCATGTGGTTGCTGGGAATTGAACTCAGGACCTCCGGAAGAGCAGCCAGTGCTCCTAACCTCTTAACTACTGAGCTATCTCTCCAGCTGGAAATAGAAGGTTTGATTTAGGGAGTGGCTACCTGCAGGATACTTGGTCTAGGCTGGGTTCACTGCCCCAAACATCAAATACTTTTCTCAATAACTAGCGGCTTAATGTCTCGAGTAAATGACTGGGCAGACGACTGTTCTGGTTGTCCTTTGGGCCGTGTGTCCACGTGTCTTTTTGTATAAAACTGTGTGGAAATTAAGCACGGGCAAACCCAGAACTTACAACTCGGGAATTCCGCATTCAGGATCTGCTGAGTTGCCCTCCCGGCACTATCCCGTGTCTCTGTATCTCTTTCGTATCTCTGTTCCCCTACCTAACATTTCTAATCCTCACACCCCTACCCTGGAATGTACGAACGTACCACGGCTAGGATCACGGCAGAAGTCACCCCAAAAAGTGGCTCACAATCAATTAGACACCCAAATTCTATGCATTACGCTGTAACTAAGCTCAAGCACTCAACGTTCCCTGTAAACTTTCCTGCTTTTTCCCGCTGCAGAAACATTAAGAGAACAACTGGGAACCTCAGGACTCTTGCAGCTCTGCAAATGTCAAATGAGAAAGAATGAAAACTAGGCCAGGTGGAATTCCCATGAATACCGTGTGCTGGGACTAGGTGTGGACGTGGAATGCAGGTGCCCATGAGATCGTGTGCAAACTGGCCCCACAGAACTTCCTCCCACAGGCTTTCCCACTAAGCGCTGTGTTTTACCATGCACTGGTGAGTCTTCATCAGCGAACAGGTTGGGTTCGAGTTCTTTCAAGGAGCTCCTTCCTTCAAGTCGGGCAAGGAGCTTCCAAAAGAAGAGGAGGAAAAGTCATTACTTAAAAGGATACAACATCCTAGAAATACATATTTATGTAAATTTTAAAAATCTTTACGATCGTAATTTGAAGATTTAGAGGAAAATACTAACAGGGGAATATAATTTAGGAGAAGCACTATGTTTACGTCTAAAGACTTCATATTTATGTGTGTGTTTCTATGCCACGTGTAAACAGGTGCTCCAGGCCAGGGGAGGGGTCAGTACCAGCGTGGGTGCTGCAAACCTAACGGGGCCCTGCTGGAGCAGCAACATTTACCTGCGGAGCCATGTCTGCAGTCCCTGGTATGTAGCTGGCTTGGGACTTGCTGTAGACATCAAGTTGGCCTAAAAAGCTCAGAGACCCCCCCCCTGCTCACTGTCTCCCAAGTGCTGGTGTTAAAGGTACATGACACCATGCCTAGGTCTGTTCATTTATTTTTAAAATATTTAATTTTTAATTTATATATCAGATCTACTGATGCAAAATAAGTCTGACCCCTCAAAGAAATAAACAGCAATTGCAGGGTATAAGACAAGCTATTTACCATTGGTGTACTTACACCAGTTAGTTATACAGTGGTCTGATTTAATTTGCCTCATTTTATCATTTTGTCTTTCCCCAAAGGGGGAAGGCAGAGGAAAGGTTCCCTAAAGAGCACTAGACTTAGCTGTATTTAAAAGCAAGTGGGAGTCCAAGTACCTGGGCACAGGTGGTGCAGCAGGCACAAGAGGGCGCAGCCGAAGCATGAAGAGCACGGCTGCAGGCAGAGCGGACGCTGATTTGAGCTGCAAGAGCTTGTTGCATGAAACAGGGGGCTTCTCGATTGGGGTAGAACCACCAAGGACATACACCTCTGGGCATGTCAACTCAAGAGGAAAGAACCTCCGTGAATGTGTGCAGTGCCATCACAGGCCAGGGTACTAGCCAGGGTAAGAAGGAAAGTAAGCTGAGCTGTAGGGTCCTAGTTTCCCTTCTGCTGCTGTGATAAAACACTGACAAACGCAGCTTAGAGGAGGAAAGGATTTACCTGGCTTACACTTCCAGTCACGGATCATCGCAGAGAGAAGCCAGGCCTACAAAAGCAGACACCAGAACCAGAAACCATGGAGGAACGCTGCTTGTTGCTCTCTGCCTCAAGTTCAACCAGAAGTTCAGCCAGCTTTCTTAAACAGCCCATGGCCAGCACCTATGGGCCCCACAGGATTAGTCAATAAGCAAGACAGCCACAGCCAGCCCATGGGGCAGTCTGATCTAGGCAATTCCTCAGCTGATTCTAGGCTGTGTCACACTGACAGCTAACAAAGGCAAACACCTGCATCTTCCCTGAGTTCCTGGCCAAGGATGAGTCGTGACCCTGCTGTCATGAGCTCCCCACCACGATGAACTTAAGGTGAACTCTTAAGTTGTTTTTGCCGGGTATCTGGTTGCAGAAAAGAGAAAAGCAACTAATACAGAAAACAAGGATGTGTGTGTGTGTGGGGGGGGGGGGGGGTTGCTGTGATGAGCCTGACCGGGAGGGGGTCAGTTCTCAGGCCTCTGGAATTGGTTTGCAGGAGGAATGTGAAAGAGTTTTGAGCTACGGGCAGAACAGCTCTAGAAAGCTGCATGCAGAGCTTGACGGGACATCCCGGTGGGAGTCTGGAAGGCCAGACTGAAGAGAGAAATGCGGACAGTGAAGGCCCACTTCCCACTGGAAATGGAGCTAGATCGTTCAAGCTACATTCTCGTAAAAAATCTGGCTGCATTTCGAACTTGGTGAGCCTGAATATAAAAGTATGTATTTGTTTGGTGGCAGAAATCTCAAGATGGGGGAACATTTAGGCCATGCCCTGGTTACAGGCATACAAACTACGAGAGTAACGGTGCCTGATACTATAGGTACAGAAAGCTGTGGAGACCAGCACTGTGTGGCAGGTTTGGAGGTTGTTATGTGAAGCTGTGATGATGAAGTCTAAGTTTCAGTAGAAACCTCAAAAGATGCAAGACCATGAAACATCCCCTAGGAAAATCTATAGCATGGAAGCGGCTCATGAGAGGAAGCTATGTGTGCTGCAGGCCAGAGCTGAAATGCAGGGGATTCCCAAGTCCTTTGGAGCTGTGGGGACCTGACAGTCAGCCCTACACTGATGACACAGAATGAACGACTCTATCCCAGCCATTAGACCTGGGTAATAATTTACACAGGTCCCCCGTGAGGACTAAAGAAACCTGATATGGATCCAGGCGTCCCTTAAGGGCCGGTGACCTTTAGCTCTGGAACACCTGGGAGAGCCTAGTGGCCTGCAGGTGAGATAAGAATAGGATAAAGGGCTGGGAGGCATTGACAGCTGCCTCTGCTTCTGTGAAACCTGCTGGTCACTCGGGAAAGGGATGGTCTTTTTGTTACTACATAGTGGGAAAGCAAGAAACAATGAGGGAAGTAAAGCAATATTCTTGCCCGCTGTAGTTTCTATGCAGAGCTGTAACGCACACCTTTCTAATGTTAAAACCCCACCCTAACCCCATTGCAACACAGCATGCTGTCCTTCTGCTAGCAGGAAGAATAAATTCATTTAATCTGGGCTGGAGAGATGGGTCAGAGGTTAAGAACACTGGCCGTTGCTCTTCCAGAGGCCCTGAGATCAATTCCCAGCAACCATATGTTGGCTTACAACCATCTGTAACGAGATCTGGTGCCCTCTTCTGGCCTGTAAGCAGACATATAGGCAGAACACTGTATACACAATAAATAAATCTGTAAAAGAAATTCATTTAATCTAAATTTGAATTGTGCCTTAGTCTTTGTTTTGTCCCAGTGGATTCAAACATCACAACAGAAACCCGAGTCCACCCAGAGTGCTAGATATGGAGCTGCAGGATTTAACATTTGCAGGGCTAGGCTTCGGTCTTGTTTTGGTTGATCTTTCCCTGTACTCCCATTCCTCATTCCTCTCTTTTGTCATGGAAATGTTCACTCTATGCCTTGTATATTAGAAATATGTTGCTTGATATTTGATCTTATGAGGAGGGGGTGTCAGAATTAAGAGACTGCCTTAAGTCTCAAAAGAGACATTAGCCTTTGAACAGTGTTGCTGCTGTTAAAGATTCTGATCTTTATAAAATTCTGATACTGGAATAAATGCTGATTTGTACTGTGAGATGGCCCTAAGGCACTGGGGACCTGTTGTGGAATATTAGTTTAAGATGCGTTGCACTCATTTATGCTGTGGAATATTTGTTTAATGAGGTAAAGATATGTTGCATACTTTTATGTTGCATTTGTTTAACTCTGTAAAGCTGTGTTACTTTGCCTGCCTAAAACACCTGACTGGTCTAATTAAGAGCTGAACAGTCAATAGCTGGGCAGGAGAGAGGAATAGGTGGGGCTGGCAGGCAGAGAAAATAAATAGGAGGACAAATCTAGGCTAGAGAAAAGTGAGAGTGGGCAGGAAAGGGAGGAGAAAGAGAAGGAGAGGAAGAAGAGTAAGAAGGAAAGAAGGATATTTAGAAAAAAGAAAGGTAAAAAGCCCAGAGGCAAAATGTAGTAGTTAAAGAGAAATGGGATAATTTAAGTTAGAAAAGCTGGCTAGAAACAAGGCAAGCTAAGGCTGGGCATTCATAAGTAAGAATAAGTCTCCATGGATTTGTGAGCTGGGTGGTGGGCCCCCAAAGAGTAAAAACAACAGTAAACCAGGAGCACATTACTTTCACCTGAACGTAAAATGTTCCCCACTCCCATAAACTCATGTTTCTTGACACTCATCCACAGCTGGGGATGAACCTCAACTGAGGTGAGGCCTGGCTGGAAGAAGTGGGTCACTGGGATTGGACTTTAAGGTTTCTTGTCCTCTGGTACCTGTTCTGCCAAAATATTGAGTGCACACCCCTGCCAAAGTGGGACTTCCTGCTGCCATGCCTTTCTCTGCACGGCAGACTGTACCCTTAAACTGTAAGCTGAAACACACTCTTTCTTAAGTTGTTTATCAGTGGTTACAACAATGAGAAAAGTCACTAATCCACATCTGAGTAGACGAAACAAAAGGTCTGAACCTATGCAGCAAGAAGCAGTCTCCAGCAGTTAAAGACAGACACTTAGGACTGCAGAACCAGAAAGCCAGGCCACTTCTGCAAACTTGAGATTTCTCCTCCATTAAGTGAGGAAAGCAAAAAATACTTCCTTGTGAGCGACAAAGTAACTATGATGCTAGTATGAGCTTATCGTGGTCATTAACACATCACCCTGACGGCTACCACGTAGAGAAGGCTGGGCTCTCTCATACTCCTCTAAACAGCTAACAGAAAGCAGAATCAATGATTTAAATGTCAATGAGGGAAATGGAATCAAAGCCAGTTTTCAAATTATTAGGAATAATATTTGACAGTCTTGGCTACCATGGGCACTGGTACACATGTATGGTGCATGTACTCATGTGCGTGCGCGCACACACACACACACACACACACACACACACACGGACAAACAAAAATTAAAAACAAAACAAAAACCTAACCTTCATGGCTAGCAAGATGGCTCAGTTGGTAGCCGCGCGTCACCAGGCTGAAGATCAGTATGTGCCATGCTTTGTCACTATTACCATAACAGCTACTGTCTGTGTTTACTGTGCTAGCAGAGTCTGTGTGTCCTTTAACTGACACAGCAGTCTCATTTATTGTTATTCCATTTTTTATATGAGAAAACTTATAAATTCCAGAACTAGGATTTAGTCAAAATCACTTTGGTCTCTAAAACTTAGAATTCTCTACTCTGCCATACAACCTTGGAGTCACTGCCAAGGGCTGAGATCTATGCACAGGCGCTAAGCTGAGTTTTTGAACCTATTAAATGGGGGTCAAATCAATCCTGCTGAGACAACTGCTTTTTCCTTTTTTCAGGCATCTTCACAGCTGAAACAAACACTGAACGTTTCTAGTAACGGCACCATTCCTGCAGCAGAACTCTCTGTAGCAGGACAGCACTCCCCGTACAGATGCCCATTTTAAGTGGCTT